CATGAAGAATGCAACGGAGGTGCAAAGGAATACGAAACTGAGACAAAGTGGTAGGTTTATTCCAAATTTTGAAGTATCTATTTTTAACACTTTGGTATAAATCCTTTTATTTTATTACAAGGAACAACTGCCGAATAAATAATTACGTGGAAAATAATTTTCTGAGAATTAATTGTCTGGGGGGAAATCACAAAGATGTGATTTTAAAATTTCTTTTCCAGATATGTAATTGTTTAATCTGATATAAACTTTAGGATGGAATGTATAAAGGCAGTTGCTTATTTAATCTTGTACAATTTGCACCCTGTGATATTGAATTGTTCAGGATTACTGAGCCTATGTGCTGTAATGAAATTGTATATAATTTACTACAGATATTTACATATGACATACTTTAAGCATATATATGTGTCTGGTAATAGCAGATGTTAGTATCTGCTAAGGAACTGATAACCTACTATAATATACCATATATTGTCCGATTTATTGATCACAAGCTTAATTCTTAGAACAAGGTCTTTGTGATAGGGTTTGCTAGTTTGTGATAGGATTTGCTAGTTTCTTGCCACACATCTATTCACCCCTTTCTCTTTAGAAACACACAACTCAAATTTTTAGCTGGTTATATTGCTTCCTATAATATAAAGCACATTGTCTTCCAGACATTTTTGCAACTAAGTTTGACCATGGAACTGAGTTCTGGCTTTGAGATATTAAGGATAAATACTTGTGAGAGTTTTCTAAAAATTGCTTAAACAGAATTGACTCAGCTGGAAGTTCAATTACCCTTCCACCTTTCCTCTTAGCTTTTAGCCCCAAAATCAGTGGTGATAGCTGGAGTGCCAACAGCCATATTGGAGCATGAAGTGAGTCTGAGGGTAGAAAGGTGCTGGGATGATACAGGAGAAAGATGGAAACTTGGGTCCTTGAGGAAATTGTGGAGCCAACATTTCTGCCAGTAGTTTCTACTTACAGACTTTTTCTATGTGTGAGAAGGATAAGGTTCTATCTGGTTTAAGTCATTGTTATTTCTGTATTGTTATTGTTAAGCAAGAATTCCAGTTGAGCCCAAACTAATACACAGAGCGTGATTATATCTGATGGGTCATAGATCAACATCTTTCACTGCCAGCTATTAGTATGTGTTGTTAAGGGTAGTTGGATAGTTGGAAATTTATTCCTCTTAATGTGGAATGTCTTGCTAAACCCAAATGTGACTAGGTAATAATGCTCTTATACTTCTTTAGTCTGTGAATTTGGACAGGAACAGGGACAGCCTTGTCTTCCTAGGAAATACCCTTAAACAGTCCATTTATTCATTCAGCAAATATTTTTTTGACTAGCTATTATAGATCAAGGAAATTATTGGAACACTTTGCTTTTCAGTCAACTCATGTTCAATATTACATAAGTCACCTGTGAGTTTGGAGAAAGTAGAAAAAAGAAAAAAAATTAAACCGAACAAAAATAGTCTAAATATTTGCCCTAAATAGTTGTGTTCTTGTAAAAACAATTTCCTGTATTTAAAGACAGGACTATAATCTACATTCTCCCAGATTACACCAGCCCATGAATAAAAATATTAATATCAAGTATTAATGCTCAAATTACAAGTGTTTACAGCTACCATTACAAAATTTCTCAGTACCCCTGACGCAAAGTCTCCCAATCTCTTCTGGGAGTCATGGGGGAAGGGTCTCACATGTCCTTATGACCAGTTTGTTCGTATTAATCACCTACTGGCTGCTATGTTGCTTGCAAGACTCCTAGGTAGCTGTCTCACCATTCTGCCTCATGCAAGGATCTTGCAGGAGAACACTCGTCTCCTGTAAAAATGCCAAATCCAAGTTCACTCCAGGTTACAAATCACCATGCTGCCAAAGGAGGCTACTTTCATGCTAAACCACACTGCGTTGGAGATGGACTTATTATGTTTAGAAATGAGGAGAGTATTTCTCTGCCAACTCTGACACCTTGATGTACTACTGCTGATGCTCTCAGTATCACATTTCCAAGGAAAGCATTTCTCTTTGCTCTTTATAGCCCCTTAGTATACATTCCTTCATTATGCTCTATCCCTTGTGTCTTCATTGGAGGCACATGGGGTATGAAGTTTTATCTCAACAGTTCTATATTCTCCCATATGTGTCAACTTGTGCTAATAGTTTGCAGGGAGGACTACTGGCTCATTAGTTCATCAGACATAACCAATTCCCACTTCAGGCTCAAAGAGAAAGCCTGCTACACCAGAACTTAACGTGGACTCAAGATGGCCATGATAAAAGAGCTAGTTGAGAATAAAGCTGTAATTTATTGATATTATGTGTTTTACATGTGTATGTATATAAATATATGTATTACCATATCCCATATAATTTGTAATTTTTATCTCTTTCAGTTGCAAAAATAATGTAAAAGGAATTCCACATGCTATCACATGTATTTTACTTATTCAACATTTATCTAGATATAAATATGAGTAATGCACTTATAATATTACCTTAAGTCACTATTTTTGTACATGCTGAAAACTCTCTGTATATAGCTTATGTAATTTTGAATTTATTTAAACGGTGACCCAATAAGTTTTTTCCTTTTGTAGCCTTCCCTTAGTAAATGTAGTTTGCTACTATGAGTAAAGGAGATAAGTATGGGTAGAGGAGATATGGAGAGGCCAGCACTTTTGTAGATAAACACAATGTGAAAACAAGGAACTACTCTGTAATTATCGGCACAGAAATAATGGCAAAGAAACAAAATTACTTCCTGAACCACATTTTATCATCTTACTAGTTGCAAAGAACACGTTTTGCCTGTTTTAATCAAATAAAAATCTTAACCATATGCATTTAGGGCTGTAAAGTATGTTTATAAGAACTCAAGAACCTTGACAGTAATAATCACAGTACTAAAATAGTTATTTAGGCAGAAAGTGGTTCGAACCATTGACAAACAAAATATCACATCTGAGAAGCCCACAGTGTAAAATTTATTTAAGACTACCAACTGTAGTGCAAAGAAAATTCCAAAGCATGACAATCTAGAGCAATTTTTAGTAGCACCTGTGGTAGGATTGAAGTTAAATAAAAAAAAATAAAAAATAGAAGGCATGTGTTTAATCTATAATCTTGTTGAAAGAAGAGTTCCAGCACAGTAGCTGTTTCCTTGTAAGACCAGCCAGATGTGGGCCTTTTTAAGGGTATATGGAGCCACAGAAAGAGAGAATACAAATGCTGGGAGAGAACAGCAGATACAATGTAGTTTGTTAAAATCAAAAGCAAATGGAGAACAGCTTTGAAGCTTCTCTGAGCAGACAAAATCAGTTCGGCTATTAATTTAGCTTAATTACCCGCCACTGTGAAGACGCTGCTTTCTCACTACATACGCCGCTTTGTAATGGCATACCCCAAGCCTAATTCCATGTCTTGGTGTGAGTGCTCTCGGTTTGCAAACTGTCTTTTTGGGGTGTGCACAATAAATTGTTACCAATTACTACTTCAGTGATTCATTGGTTTTACTTTGGCTATTTCTGAACCTTTGACAGGCTGTTTTTAAGATGGAGAGAAATCTTCATAAAGTTGATTCGGACAGACTACAAAAGCTGTTTCCTCTTCAGTCATTTATGAAGAAACTTCTTCTAAATAGAAAGGGCGATGCATACATTAGCAATTCCCATCATCTGTTTCACTGCCCTGGCACGATTATGGGGACTGTTTGGCCAGTGTCGTGAACTATTTGCTTTCTCACCGGCCTCATTTGCTCAGCAATCCCTCCAGAAGCACGCGGGGCTTTGGGAAGTTTTCTCGGGCAGTCACGTGCCAGCCCGGGTCTATTCCATGTGAGGTCTCCAGGCCACCCCGGCAGCGGGGCGACGGCTGCTCTGCTCTGATAGCCAGCAAGGAGCAGCGCCGGAGACCTACTTGGCCGCGGTCCCGGTGGAGGAGTTTGGCAGCCCTCGGGAGATGAAATTCTTCGCTGGGACACGCCCCAGGTAGAGCCGCGACACCCTCCAGCCACTACTCTGTTGCTATGAAACAAAAGACGAGGAAGGTGAGCGAAGCAGGAAGTCCCGCCTTCCAGCCCCTGTTGGCTTTGGCTCCAGCTCCCAAGCTCACGCCCACCCGCCCACTCCTTATTGGCCACTTCCCTGGCGCCTTGAGTCTTTTCCATTTCTTTTCCCTTTGCCACTTTTGTTCTCGGGTGAGCCCAGGCCCCCCATTTTCCTCGGAGCCTCTTTGCATCTGGGCCGCGCGACCAGCGGTCCTTCCTTCGGGACCATTGTGTACCGTGGAAGACGTGGACCGGGAGGTAGTGGGAGGACGGGCACCTCCCGCCCATTGGCGCCGCCCGCTGTCTGGCAGCGCACCGGCGCACGGGATTGGTCCGGC